ATTTTTCTTTTGCCCACCACCCCTTTCACCTAGGACTAACGCAAGATCCTACTGTGACGCATCAGCTACACTCAAAGTCATTGTGGATTCCCCTTAGGTTGCCACTTGACTTTTATTTATCTTGCATTACCACCCGCTTTATGCTATGTTCAAATAAGAGGAGTTTCGGGTGTTCCCTATGACTATTTCACATAAAAGCAGCTTTGGTTACCTGTTTAGGCAGGTTAGTTACCCCTGTCATTCCTCCCATTTCAGAAAGGGAATGGGCATTAGCCCTGTAATCACTTGCTTATACTGGAGCTTGCCCATTCTGATTTCACACCTAGCTCTCTTGCCTCCAACATCTTCAACCCCCCCCTAGTCCCTTGCCATTCCTTTAACTACCCATAGCTTTTTCCCATTCTGGAAAAAGTCTGTCTCCTGCTGTCCTGCCTGTCTACTTAACCATTATTCTACCCCATTACTGTCAAGCACCCACTTTCTGCCCATCCTCCTATAGTGACCTGTCCACACCTGGATAGAACCTGATTCTTCTCCAGTGCTAATTTCTCATCTCTGACTCCTGTGGGTCTCCTGTCATGTGACCCTCCAGAGTGGCTCCCTTTTTGCAGTCCTCATTTGGGTTCACAAGCTGTCCACTTGCCACTTCATTAACAGGTGTTTCCAGTTTTGTTTTGTTTTGTTTAAAGCTATCATCATATCCTTCCCTTTAATTCCTAAGGATCTTACCCTACATCTTGCTCTCTTCTTTCACATCTGGTTCTGCATACCAGCCTCCTGGTCACCCTGCTCAACTGCCCTTACTGAAATCTGCCCTTCATATCTTACTGATAACGTTGCCAGACTACTATTTTGCTGTGTCATTCTTTCTCATAAACTTTCAGTACCTTTGCCACTTACAGGTGAAGTTCAGGTTTCTCAGGCTGGCTTTTCAGGTCTTTCATAATATTCCCACACACTGATCAGTCAGACTTATCTCCTACTATTTCCAAATACCTGTTCTACTCCTGATGACATGTTCTTACTGGCTTCCCAGATATGTCCAGTCTTGCCTATGTACCTTTGAATGTGTTTTCATTTTTCTGGACATATCCTTCACTCGAAGTCCATCCATACATTTTCCAAAGCATGTCTCTCTTCCATGAAGTGCTCTACAACCCCCTAATTCATAGTAAGGTCTTACTACAAATACTCCCTCCAGGGTGCTCAGTTCATTTTGATACCACCACATATTGCTGTTTTATATTTTTCTGTATTTTAAACAGAACTCTTCATTCCATTTTTGGTGAAGTATGATATAATCCTTTTATATACTCCAAGAAACCTAACATGTTGCTAAGTATACAGTTTAGACATCTCATAAATGCTTTAAAATGAAATGTAGTGGGATTTTTGGTAAAGCATGAGGATGACCATTTGTGTTTTCTTCTCTACCCCTCCAGTCAAGTATCATCATGTAGGTAAGCTGCTGAAGGAAGGGGAGGAGCCGACTGTGTACTCAGATGACGAAGAGCCAAAAGATGAGAATGCTCGGAAAAACGATTAAAGCATTCTGTGGAAGCATATCTATTTTTGTATTTTGCAAAATCATTTGTAACATTGCAGTCTGTCTTTAAAACATGGTGATTTCAATATTTAGAAAAGTTTTGAACTTGCTGTAAATTTTTTTTAATTAACATCACTAGTGACACTGATAAAATTGTCTTAGCATGCATGAACGTTTGTGTCACAAATCCAGAAAGTGAACTGCAGTGCTGTCATACAACTGTTAGTGCTGTTTTTCTTCTATCTGTAGTTAGAACAAGCTGAATTGTAGTTCGATTTTCCTGAGAAAGAGCGAAGACTTGGTTATTTCCACAAACTAGGCAAAATGGTAAATGTACACAAACTGGTCCAAATGGTAAATGTAATAAAGAGTGCAGAAGGATCAACTTCTAGTTATGCTGTTCTCTGAAAACAAGCCCATTTTCCTCAATTGACTTAACTGCATGATTTCTGTTGTATCTACCTCTAAAGCAAATCTGCAGTGTTCCAAAAGCTATGGTATTGATTCAAGAGAGAAGTCTAGTAACAAAATGAAAATTTTATGTTTGGCTTAATTGGGACAAATACATTTCCTGTGTTTCTAGGCTGATTTAACTGTCCTTGTCCTTGTATGGACACTCTCAACACAGTAACTCTCTCACATACACAGTAATTGACAGTTGGCACTAAAACAGCATCTGAAAAATCAAAGTATAGAGCTTTGCAAAAACAAAACAAAACCCCTAAACACATGAAGATCATAGGTCTGGCTTCCCAGTTATGTTGCTTATATCAGGGTAATGGTTATGTGGTTATTTGACCAAATGTGAAATTTGAGAGGAACATACAGGGAAGGAACAGGTGTGTGCTTTTCAGAAAGTCTCCATCATCTCTGAAGAATGAGAAAACACTACATGGCATTAGCTGAGTGATTTTTAAAGGAAAATACATTCCTAAAGTAACAGGTAAATCCTTCTGTTACAAAATTGTAGTCACTTCGAAAGTAGTAGTCAAGTGTCTAGGTCTTGGATAATACTCTTTTGGTTAATACTAAACCTAGCTTAAGTAGACTCTACAGTTGTATAAATTTGTAAAAGTATTATATGAACAACTAGTGAGGTTCCAAACTGTTGTAATTGTAGTTAAACAGTCATTGTATTTTCTTGTGAGCTGTGTTTAATGGTTTTACCTCAAATCAGAAAACAAAATGAAGTGCTTGGTTCAGTTAATAAAAAGGTTTTACGCAATCTAATGTGGCTAGCTTACTTTAGTATTTGTAACCCTAAGAGCTGGGTGACAGGGGTTAGTGCTATGTAATGGGGAAGAGTGCTATGGAATTCCGTCTTCTGGACATGACTGGCTATTGCACTCACGAACTCACAGCAGCTGTGGTCAGCTGTTTACCAGCTAAAATTCAAGCACCAATTAAAGAGGAGCTTTTGGTAGTTGATGGCAACTAAGGTGGGCAGAGTCAGTTTTCTTTGAAGGTGTGGTCACTAGTAGATTACTCATGCTCCAGTACCTTATACCCACACGCATACAGGCAGAACTAATTAGATGTAGTGGGATATTAGTTTTAAAGACTAGGGGACATGTTCCAGAGGGTCCAGGAGAGTTGAAGTTTAGATATGGTCATAACACATTGTATACATTTGTAAAATTCTCAAAAAGATAAGTTTAAAATTTTAATAATTAAGTTAGATTTAGTCATTTAGCTTAAAATTGAGTTCAATTTTTGGGTGTTAGACTTCTGTATATAGTAAGATGAACAACCATGTAATCCCAGCACTGGGAAAATGAGGCAGGAAGATAATAAGTAAAAGGCCTGCCTGAACTACATAGGAGGGAAACAGAGACAGAAGAAAGGAAACAAGTTGTGAAATAGTGAGCTTGAATTCTGTGACTTGTCAAATGCTGCCTCTGAGTCAACTCTCTAAACTTAAGTCTGTAACAGTGTTAATTAAGAAATATTACTACTGAAAAAAAAATACTACTGAAGGCACTGGGGTTACCAAGTGTTAAGGAAGTTTAGGGGGTTTATGGCAGGAGGGGTGTTTGGCTTTTATTGTCCTAACTATTGTTATTCTTTGAGAATCTCATACATGCAATGTGCTTTGATCATATTCACACACACCCCACTTTACCCCTAACTCCTCTTAGACTCCTCACTCCTATCCCCTCCCAATAACATGCCCTCTTTTTTTCACAAGCAAGTTCAATTTATGCTGCCCCGTAGGCAAGGGCCATCTGATTAGAGTGTGATCAACTTACCAGGGGACATGGATTGTTTTTTTATTCAGAGCAAGCATTCATACAGTCCTTAATGTTTCAGAAAGAGCTCGTGAAACCCAACAAGGAACATTACAACTCTAAAGTGCCCAGAGTTAAAAGTGCAGTCTATCTTCATTATATAATACTTTGAAGCAGTTTGCTACTTTATATATAGATACAATTAACTCTCGAATGATCAAAGACAAATTAGGGACCTAAGCCCTTTGTAGTAGACTCCCCATTCCATGTCCATTTATTTTTGGACATCTATAAATTTTTAAGTTTCACACACAACTGAGGGAATGAGATGAAATGAAATTCCAGAGTCAATTTTGCTACCATTTAACAGCACTGGTAAACCATACTATGTTAAACATGGCGGCACACACCTGTAATTTCAGCACTTGGGAGGCCGAGGCACATGGATGGGGAGTTCAAAGCCAACCTGGGTTTCTAGTGAGACACCCTGTCTTGAAAAGATGTATTGTGTGTTTATCCTTTAACAAGACATCTATATTAATCCTACCCATCATCACCACTAAGGTTCAAGGGTCATCACTTAGGAGGCAGAAAGAACCTAAGAGCCAGAGGATGGTGAAGAATACTGAGAAATGCTGTCTTCTGGACATGACATAGCCATCACTCACATGCACCCAAGCAGCTGTGGTTACCCGCCTAAGGTAAAGCCAGTCAAAATCCCAGTATAGATGATAATTGTGATCTCCAGGCCCCACCCTATACTGAGGAGCTATTCGAAATGGATATTTGCTTGGGGAGGAGGATCATTCTTTGAGGTTGTGGCCACTGGTAAGTTTCCCATGGTTCAGTGGGAACCATGCACATATGCAGAGCTCTAATAGACATAGTAGACTATCAAAAAATAAAAGATTAAGTTGGAAGGGAGTGTATTAGGAAAACAAGGGAAGATGGAGGACAGAAATGGGGGGCAGATTAGAACATACTTCATTGTATACCTGTATGATATTCTCAAAAATAATTTTAGATGTACCTAGAGAAGGATAATTTCTAGTCTAAATACTATTCCAGTTTATCCGAAATGAAAAACAACCTGGCTTTTAGTTCTATCAGCTGACAGAATCAGTTCCTATCATAAAGGAGAAGTAGAATTAAAATATTGAAATTGGTTAGAAATGTTATGGGTATGCATCAATCTAGCTAGTACAATGATAAGTCCATAGTCACTGTTGTTACTATTGACAATTTTATTTTTAAATATATGAAAATTAAAATACGCATCATTTCTCTAACAATGCAAATAAGCAAAAAGAGCAACATTAGTGCAACATATCATACTACAGATAGAAACTTCCCCCAAAGTGGAATCAATCACTGTTATTAAAAACAACACGTTCAAACAGTTTTGCAACAAAAACACATTGATTTGGTTGTGTTTTCAAATTACCTAGGTTACATGGCTTTCTACCTGAGAAATTCAAACAAATGAACAAAGCACATTTACAGACATCTCCTTACAGGATTAGCAGCACATACAAGGAAAGCATACGAAACCCCTATTTAATAAAAACAACTCAGGCCCTTGTTTGATAAGACAAAAAGAAGATACGAGAAAATACTTTTCACAACTTAAATAATATCGAGAGATAAAGTAGTCGTAACAGTTAGTTCCATTACATTCTTTACTAAGCCACCGAGTGACAAGCACAAAGTAAGCTATTATGTTTCTCCCGTAAGGCCTACACCAAAAAAGGGGTTGACACAAATCTACAATGCATTACCACAGACATATACAAAACTCCAGGGTTCAGCAAAAGCGGGATTTTTACTTGTAGACCCCAGGAGAGCATTCAGCAAACAAATGAAATGGGACAAAAGTGCTGCATCAAAATGATTTAGCACCACATCTAATAAAGAAAACACTTGCACATGCTGCTGAACTCTGCAGTTTGATTTTTAATTCTTAGTGAGCAAAACTGCCTAAAATCCCTCATGAAAAATTCACAAATGAGGGAAGAAATTGAGTGGGTCTTGTTTGTTTGAAAACAATCAGTTGCTTTCTATTACAAACCCATAATGTTTTTGTTTGTTTGTTTGTTTCAATGGAATAAAACGGGGAGGGCAGCCGGGCAGTGGTGGCGCATGCCTTTAATCCCAGCACTTGGGAGGCAGAGGCAGGTGGATCTCTGTGAGTCCGAGGCCAAGCTGGACCGACAGCCTCCAAAACAATACAGAGAAACCCTGTCTCGAAAAACCAAAAAAAAAAAAAAAAAAAAAAAAAAAAAGGGAGAGGGCGCAGATTTTTATTGGAGGAGAAGAATATGTTGCCAGAAAACATTTCGAAGGCTACTTTGGGCAACAGTACTTTGAACATGAATAGTCATTGCTAGTTCTCAAAAAACGAAACAAAAAAGGCACTCTCAACCCGTGAGCAATCTTTTGGATTGGGCAAGTCAAACCTAGCTTTACTAGTGAAACCGCTTGAAAGTGGGATTGAATGAACACGAGAGGCAGCACACTATTCACTTAACATTAGTAACACATGTGAATCTGTTATATTCCTTTCTGAACTTTTACATGGTTGATCATACCTCTCTCCAAATAGGAATATGCAGACCAATAAAACAACCTGTGGCTTTTATTTCAGGTAAATCATAAGATTTTGTAAGCACTTCAGACACCAGGTTGCTCAAGAAGCAGTTTATGGGCACACAACGTGAGACCCGATAGTAAGTAACCCCACCGAATGGCATCCTAGATGCCCCTACCAACAGATGCTTTCCTGAAGAATGTCCAGTTAAGACTGAAATGAAATTGCTGCCCTTCGCTGATACTGTGGATTCCAAACAAGTATTCCTGTTGCAGGCAGTCTCGAATTTCACTCATCACCAATTGCCAGGTCAGGTATAGCTTTGTTGGGAAAAAGAAGGTCAACTAACTGCCCTGAGGTCCTGAATCCAATGTAAGGCAGAAAGAGTCGGCCACACTTTCTACAGAACATGCACTGTGTTAAGGGGTAAGTCTTCAGAAATCTACAAATATCTCAATTTAAAAACATATTTAAGAAGTCCAAAATGAGTCGGCAAAAAGATAAACTGCTTATTTAACATTGTTTACAAATTCTGCACAGATACAATTTTTCCACAGCTAGAAAACTATGGACTTTTCTTTTAATTCTTCCTAACTCCATGGCATTGTTAAGGGCAGAGGAGGCACTTGCTACTGTTTTATAAAAGTCAGTTTGGGGGATATTCAGTGACTTTTTACAAACTGATGTCACCCAACCCTGAGTGAAAGGATTACATAGCCTGAAATAGAATACTGTCACAACTTTTCTTCCCAAGTGCCATTATTGATACTCCAGGATTTGTTGGTATTTCCTTTTGCAAATCCCCCTGATTTTATAAATTCAATCCGGGTGCTTTATTTTTATTTGGAAAGTGATGGGATTCATAAAACAAGCAAGAAAAATTCTAATGGTCCCATCTATCTATCAAAGGGCAATCGGCCCCTTTTAGATTCTTCTTTGAGTACTGGGAATATATTCATTTCTTTCTGGTGGGTATTCATGAAATTCTAAAGCCATGAAATCTATCATTGATTCTAGCCTCTGGATCTCTCCTTTATCTAAAATTATTATGAAGTAAAATTCAGGAAAGTTTGTTACCATACATAGTGCTTCTGACCAAATCTAAGAACACAGCAAAAGATGCCTTTTTGTCCACTATTATTCTCTTTGAAGACAGATGATGCAAGATGTTGTGACAGCAAAAGAGCCATAGAAGGATAAGTCAGCCTTCTTAATGCTAGTCTGCTTCCTTTACTGGCACCAAATTAAAGCTTAAAATAAAATCTGTCCTTGGACCATGAAGTTTTGCAATTACATTGTTTCCCCAAGCTTCAGAACCTACAGGTTTTCTATTTCCTTGCTGACATGCCTGCAGTCATTTTGACCCACACTTGAAACTTTGGCAAGAGGAACAAGATTTTGCACTTGACCCTCTTCTAGTTCTTGCTCTGTGGTTGCTAACAACATAACTATATTTGGTTTGAAGTTTTTCTTTTCATCAGTTGTTTCCTGTAAATAAAGGTGTTCCTGTTCAAAGTGGCCATCAGAACATTTTAAAATACAAAGAGCCAGAGTAGCTGTCTCCTAAGTAGCTTCCATACTCAATGTGCTCCTGGTTGTCACGACTAACATAATAATTACCAGAGTCAAGCATATAATCTTCAGAACTTTCATATCTTTTAAACCTTCTTACATCCTGGTTATATTCTGCCTTCCAAGGATTCTGTCTTTTTCTGGAGAAATATCCCAAATAGAAAGCTCTAGCACGTTTTGGTGGCATTAATGGCATATGAATGGGTCTATAGTTCACATTCTGGCCAAACATACTGCCAGTAAGTCTCCTCCTCTTTCTTGTGATGCTTTCTAATTCATCACTGGAACTGGATTCATGGTAGTAGCCTTCATCAAGCATGTACTTGGGAGCTATTTTTTCTCTAGTTTTGCTTATGTTCTTGTCAACTTGAACGGAATCACATTCATCCTCAAGCCACGAATATCTCAGTTCATACTTGGACCTTTTACCTGGTGCCCTAACCTTGTGTTTAGAGTATTTTTCCTCAGTGTCATGTTTCCACTCTGAATACAAGGTCTGCTGACTTGATCTAGTTTTCTGTTTGCAAGTAATGATTTTGTCAGTGCCAAGAGGTCTTCTTTCAGGGGAGCTATTATAGACAGCCACAGACCTTTCTTCCTCCTCTTCATTTATGGTAAGAGTTTCACTGAAGCACTCAGAATCACTACTAATTTCCTCCAAGAAGTCTGCCAATGGCAAACCTACATCTACTGACCTTAGGGATGAGGAACCTGGACTTTTTCTTGTGTTTTGAGAATCTTTGACTCGTCTATGAATCTTTTCCACTGGGTAGCTTTCACCATCAGTTGGGGACAGGTGATCTTCAGTTTCACATGCTATGTCCTTGCAACGGTTTTTAGATTTCTTAGTAAATTCTTTGGCATAATTGACCTTCTCTGTCTTTTCTGACTTGCTCTCAGGAGCCTTCATATACACCTTTGGCCAGTCCTGCTCGTGATCCTGTTCTTTCCCCTCCAGGCTCTCAACTTCACTCAGACTGGTTGAGTGGCACCTGTGCTTTCTCAGATTGACCTGAAATCCATCCCCCTTGGCGTAGACATCTCTCTGCCACTGACTTGCGCTTGTTAGGTGACTCGCTTCCAGGCAGAATCGGGCATATTCTGGAGTCTGATAATAGTTTAATAGATAGTCAATAAATTCATCTGTTTCATAGATCTTCTGTTTCCTACCATGGTTTAGCACAACTTGTCTAGAAGAATGTGATTTGTTACAACTTCCGTGGTCTTCTTTTTCAATGGACTGGTCTGGATTCATTGTACTCTGCAAGGAATTCTGGTCAGAGACCAAACTGTAATCGCACCCATCAGTTAACACTTTTCCAGTTTCCTCTTTTCTAGCTGAGTATCTTACTTGTTTCACCCCAGGGCTGTGTGAAGACTTCTGTAAGTGGGTCTTAGTTCTTTTCTTTGCTTTTTGTTTTTGTTTACCGTCAGACTTGGGAGCCTGATTACTTGGCATTTCTTCCTGATCTACAAGTTGCAGTGTGTTTAATTCTTCTTCCTCTGGAGGTTTCAATGCAGCCCCTGGGACATGATGAGCTTCAGGCTTCATAGCATCAGCCTCCTGTGGGTTACACTGTGTGGATCCCTTTAAAGAGAAAAGATTTAATGGTCACTCATGAAAACCCAAATAGAGTCAGCAAGATGGCTCAGCAGGTAAAGATGCCTGCTTGCTAAGCCTGATGACCTGAGTTCTAACCCAGGGACACACATGTGAGAAGGGAGAGAAGTGACTTCAGTTCTCTGAAGTTGTCCTCTGACACACTCACACTGTGGCATGCTGCTGCTCCCTGCTCACACACAAAATAAATAAATATAAACCAAAATTCAAAATAAAACACCAAGATTGAGATTTTCCAAAAGCTGAGCCAGTGCTGCTCTGAAGAAACCCAGGCTAGTTCCAAATTAGGAACAATATTGTACTGAGAAAACTACTAAATTAAATGTCCTGATATAATATGAGCTGTTTTTACTAAATCTGTGAGCATTCTTTTGGTATGGCATTTGCTCAAAAACTGACAAGCCTACTGTTTTATAACAGGAATGCTCTGTAGCCCTCACAGGTAATCCTAGTACAAGAAAAGGCACGTGGGTGAAACGTCCAGCAACGTCAACTGAATTAATAAACTGTCCCTCCATTTCGTATTCCAATCTTCTTTCTATGGATTGCAAGTTGAAGATGCCTCTGAGTTGAGCCACCTGGCCTGCCTCATCAAGGGGAAAGATGTGGGGGGACCAGAAATGCAGTTTAGTGGTGGAACACTTATACCTTACAAAGTCAGAAAAGAAAAGCAAAACACCAAGTAGAAAATGTAGCTGTGCCCAAAGATTTGTCTGGTGCCTGTGGTCCAGTCTGATGCAATCTGTTGTGCACAGCTGAGGAAGAGGGGAACAATGATGCCTGCATCCCCATCCACAGGAAGGTTTGCAGCACGTTTCCCCTGATGTCTGTCACACGTCAGAGCACAGCACCCCCCTTTTAACTTGTAGTCAGTGTAAGTATTAATGGGTTCCAGTATTAGGTTCCATGCCCATTTAAAGAGGTGGAGTCTGCAAAAGAGTCCCACTTGTACATCATTAAGGTAAACTAAAATCCAATACAGCTGGGCTTGCTGTCAATAATCCAAGTGTGAGATTATTTTTCCTGATCCTGCTTTCACCAAGTTTAGCTATCTTTAGTAACAAGCAAGAGATCAACATGGCAAATAGACATAAAATTCACTTGATAGACTAGCAACAGCTGTCATTCTTCCTATTTAAAAACACTGCAAATGGACTTCTAAATGAATACTTTCAAAATTTCTCTGGATTTTATTCTAAGGTATCTGTGATTCTGACAATCTGTAGCGGCCCATAAAGGGAGAGAAATATCTTAGAGAAATGGAAATCTTTGAAGAAGATAATCAGTCTGTGAGTTTAAAAACTCCTTACCAGATAGCTCAGGACAAGGCTAATTTGAGCCCTGACAAGACTCAAGATTCTTCTCCCTTTACATCCAAACCTGTTACAGATGGATGGATGAATAAAGTTAATAGAAGGCTACAGATCTAGCACCCACACAACACCCGCCCCTTTGATCCCTCTGGTACGTTCCCATCATATGCATTAGGAACTCAGAAGAGGACAGAGCAGCTAAAGTGTTCTGAATACTATCCTAAAGTTTAGAAACATGGAGGGAGGGCAGAGCTAACACAGGGCTGTTTTAGAGACTGGTTTTAGAACTCCATGGTTGGAGCTATGTGAGAGCAAGCGATTGAAAGGAAACCCCTATGAATGCCACAAGTCTGCCACACAGTTCACTGTTAGTGCGACAGTACTTGAAGCCAAAGGCCGGAGTTCAAAAACACTAGTATCTACCAAAACTGAAGAGAATAACTGGGAAACAGCCTTACTGCAATTTTCTTCAGGAGGACCCGGAGCAAACGAAGGGCTTCAACCCGCCTCTGAGCCAGCAGGCACTTCCTCTCTCCCCACTCCTCCGTAGAGTCCAGCTCCTGAGTAGCCTCAGTCTTGGCTTTCACTTTCTCCTTTCTTTGTCGGTGTCTGTCTCTTTCCTTCAGAGCTCTCCTCCTGTCCCTGGCCTTCTTTCTCTTCTCTTGGGCTTTTCTTACTTCATCTTTTCTTTTTCTGGACAACAATTAAGATTCATCATTCATTCAAGCAATAATTATTAGCCATTGGGTCTCACTCCCATCCCCCCACCCTGGAGAAGTAACCACTTAGGCTTCCCAAAAACTATGACTGGTAACCTTGGGATTAGAATTGACAATTCATGGTAAAATAATAATCAGGGGCTGGGGAGATAGCTCAATCAGGAATGTGACTGTATAAAGACTGAGTTAGCATGGTGTACATATCTTTCATCCCAGTGCTGGAGAGGTAGAGACAAGTAGATCCCTGGGATGCACTGACCACAAAGTCTAATATATTTGGCAAGTTACAGGCCAGTTGAAGACCCTTTCTCAAAAAACAGATGGACAGCATCAGAGGAACGACACCTGGGGTCCTCTGGCCTACACACACACACACACACACACACACACACACACAGTTTGTACCTACTTCTGTACAAGCACACACATACAAAAGAAATAAAACACATGCCCCCTAAAGTCCACAAAACATCAGTCAAGGGAAAAGACACAATTTTCTTGGTAAAATACAAATGTATAAAGTATACCTTATGAGCAGGGAAGGGGGAGGGAGGGAGAGAGGGATGGAGGGAGGGAAGGAAGAGAGCTTTGGCACTTTTATGTGATGTCATGAAGGAGAACAGGCAAGGAAATAAACAACAGATTCTATTCTGAAGGCAGAATAAAAGAGGATATGGTCTGAAGTCACGAAACTACAACAGCTGAAAGGCTCAGAAAAACAGGGTTTGAAAGCAGTCCACCCAGCTCCCTGGCAGGGGACGGGAACCTGGAGTCTCAGACATAGTAAGCCCTGATAAAACAGGGATGGTAGTCACAGCCACAAGACAAGGGTACAGTTCTTCCTCAGGAGCCTTAAATCCAGGTGGAGGATTTAGTGTGACAGTGATTCCTACTGAAAGATAGATCGGCCATGCTACATACTTTGGAAGGTTATACTCAGGTGTCATCTTGAGTGGCGGCCTACCATTTGAGACTGACATGCCATGCTGAGAAGTTCAGGCAGGACAAGACTCAGACTGGCAATGTAAAAAGGGGAAACCCCTAAAGTGAAAGTAGATCCAATGAACAACTGGCCTTGACAGGGCTCAACTCCTGCTTGTACAGTATAAAGATAGGAGACTTCAACTCTGATATGAGAGGATCTAGAAAGAAGCTGCTCCAATAGGTTACCATTATTTACTCATTTATGTAATGCATATGGATATTTTGTCTGCAGGTATGTCTGTGCACCATGTATATGCCTGGTGCCTTTGAAGGCCAGAAGAGGGTGTCATATTCCCTGGGACTGGAGTTACAGACAGTTATGAGCTCCACATGAGTCCTGGGAATTAAATCCAGAACATCTAGAAGAGCAGCCAATGCCCTAAACCACTGAGCCGTCTCTCCAGTCCCCTCACTTTAAAATGTTAACTTTTTGCCCACTTTACTCTGAGATTTTTATATATATTTCTTCATGATGGAAAGAGGGCCTATAGAATAAAAGAAAAGTCTTTCTACCTATGTATCTGAAGGAATTAATATGCAGAATATATAAAGAACTTTAAAAATTAATCATCAAAATCAAATTATCCAATTAATAAGTGAACAAATGAATTAACAGACAATTCTTCAAAAGAGTGCAAATCAAAAACAGGGATATCAGACAACCTCTAACAGCTGTCATCATGCAAGTGGAAACTACAGTAAGAGTGGGATAGACAGATGGCTCAGCAGTTAATAGTACTGGCTGCTCTTACAGAGGATCCAGGTTCAGTTCCCCACGCCCACATGGCAGCTTACAAGGGTATATAACTTCAGCTCAAGAGGACCTGACATCATTTTTGGCCTCCACAAGTATGAGGCACACGCATACTACATATACACACATGCAGTCAAACACATACATAAAAAATTTTAAATGCATCATAAAACTACACTAAGATTTCATCTCACCTCTGTCAAAAGAAACAAATAACAAATGCTAGAGATGATACAGGGACTAAAAGAACCCTATAAACTCAGATAGACCCCCATGAAAATATGGGAAAAAATAAAAGACTAAAGGACAAAGGATTATTTATCTAAAGGGGACCTGGAATTTGAGAAAGAATAGTATCTTGAAGTGGCTAAAACTCTGGCCTAATTTCCTGGATCTGATGAGGCAAAAAAAAAAAAAAACATGACGGACATGTAGAATGAGGTCCTTAATTTTTTTTAAAACAGTATGATTTATATAAAAAAATATGGGCCAGAAGTTTAAAAAGATGGGCTATCAGAGTCCTATGAAGCTGGTATCTGTCCTTTCTTGGCAAATGTTTGGTAATGGTCTAGCTAGGCCCAAGCTCCATGATGGGTAACTAATGGTAAAACTGAAGAAAGAAAGCAGAAGTATCTCGAATTCACAGTAAAAGTTCTGGCCAACAAGAAAAAATGGCCCCAACAAATCCACGATTATGGGTTACTTTGATTCTTGATCATTTTAAAGAAAGAAAGCTTTTTCTAAAACTATGTGGTTTTTTAATTTTAAATTGGGAGGTTAGATAATATTGGTAAAGTAATAAAATTTTTGAGTCAGGTTAGGATAATCTCTACAATTTTGGATCCTGAATACAGCCCACAAGCCCACAGGTGGGATGCTTGTCTAGCAAGTGCAAGGCCCTGGGTTCAAACCCCAACCCCGTAAAAACAGCAGTTCCTTGTTCTCTCTTAAAATCTCTTTCCCCCAGATTTCTTAACCTGGCTAGTCTCATTATCCCTTACTACTTGTTCTCACTTCCTGGGATGCCTTTCCAGTTTCTTGCTTTCACCTGTTTTATCATCTGCATTTTCTAAGACTGTCTTTGATGGAGTTTTCCATCTGCACCAAAGCCTGCCCTCACCTCCATGTTATCTATTGAATCTAGCTATTCACCAAAATGAATTAATCCAAAAAATCAAAAGGAAAAATCTCGCCATTGTTAAAAATCGATCTACTTACCTTTCAGCTACTTCCTCTTCTCTCTTCTTTTCCTTTTTCCTCTCTTCCTCCAGCTCTTGTAATTTTAGCCTTTCCTGATTCCTCCTCTGTATAGCTCCTTCACTGAAATGCTGGCTTGTATCAAACATAACCTGCTCCCAAAACAGATGAAAGACTTGTCAGGGGACTGGATGAATCCCAGACGAAAGAGAGAGAGGAAGCTAAGATGGCACACAGTAATTTAAAACCAAAGAATTCAATATGCCCTTTGAATCCCAGCCACGCTGCACTACTGCTTATGGGCCAAGAGCTGACTAGTACTTGGAGGTACTAGGATGTTCTTTGGCAAACCTTTGAAATAGTATATCAAACTACCATCTTAATTTGATATATTTATAGCAATATTTTTAGTTATTTTTCAATTCAGTTTTGGACACTGTCATATATATTTGTACTGTATTGTGAACATAATCCCCTCCTTGCCCTCTCTTATTACCCTCCCACTCCAACAAATACCTTCTCCTTCCCAAATGGTGCCCCTCTTACTTTCATGTCTTAAATTTTTTGTGTAGGAAATTACTTTACATATGACAATGGGTAGCATTACAGGGCAGTCTAGGAACAGGTCAGAAATATATTACCTCTAGTAGCCATAATAATCAACTAGATTGATGTGTTGTTGTTTTTTACGTCAGCAGAGATAAAAATAATGAGCATGGCAAGGAATGGGGTAGACTGGCAGAAAAGCAACCTAATGATATCACATTATAAACCTATATTTATATCATGAAATATGAGTAAGTGGGATAAATAGATATGCTTAAAGACTAGAACAGAGGCAGATGTTGTGTTAGCTCATCAGTATTTAGGAGGTCTCTAGTTTGATGCCCACCATGAATAATAACAAATAAAGAGAAGGAGAACTAGTCATTGAAATGTACACAAGGGAACTGGAGATTGTATCCCAGTGGTAGACCACTTGCTTGGCATTAGCAAAATCCTGGGTTGTATCCCCAGTGCTGCAAAAAAATAAATAAGTAAATATGCATGAAAACAATATATTCACAGCCATGGTTCCTTTTAACACAAGTAGCTACACACACACACACACACACACACACACACAAACACACACAAACACGAAACTGAAAGTACAAATTCAAATTCATGCCGAAGACTGATTTAGAGAAGAAGAATTTAGCTGCGTCTTTTCCATTGCTGGGTTAGGACTTCCAGGTGATAATCGATGTGCCTCCTAGAGATAGCTACTCAGGTCAGCATGTGCTGATGCCTGTGCTGCTGGTGCAATCCGATTGGCTAGTGTACGACCAATCCGGAAATGCAGAGTTCTTGCTTGAGTACCCCAGCTGGTCCAGGGGACTGAGCTTATTGATTCCATGGCAGGTATGAATCAGGCCACAGCCCTTGTTCCCAGCAGATGGTTTGCAATAAACCTGCTAGAAACCTGCTGAATGCCTAAAGGCTGTTGTACTTCTGCCTAGGCCAAGTGATGCAAGGCTTCTGCTGTAGCTCCGAGCAGCTGGGTATTGCCACAGCTAATTTTTCCAGGACAAATTTCCAGTTTATATGGTCCACTGGCACTTATTATTGTTTCTCTGATGTTGGAAATGGGAATGCCCATAAGATGGTGGTGAATATAAGGCTGGAACCCATAGTGCAAGAATGTGACAAAGTCCATAGAAGCACATATCGTGCATGCCTTCTCAGAGGACTTTTATGAGGAAATCCTCAATGTGGCCATTGTCGACTACCTCGGCCAAGAAAAGAACTTTGATTCTTTAGCACCACTTATTTCGGTAACTCATGAGATTGAAGAAACAACTAAATGACTAGATTTACCAGAATATTTACAACTCAAAGATGAACATTTCTTCCAGGTTTCTAAAAACAAGATTATGAATGGCCATGGATGAAAAATGACCTTATTTCTTCATCCAATGTTTCCTAGTATTTCGCTGTTCATAAGCTATGTAGTCTCATCTTGATTGTATTTTAAAAGGCAAGCATTTTTCTACAGCTGTGAATTAAACAATATGATGTAGTTACTCTACTGTGATTTGGTTGCTAAATCCAATGCATCCTACTTTAGTACTAAAATATTCATTTAAAATTAAGATGCTTTCAATGCAGTATGTTGATTAAAATGAATCACTAGAAATATAGTAAATGTATTATAATGAAAATAAAATGATGTATACAAAAAGTAAGTCAATGATTTGAGATAAGAACCAACATTATTACGGGGAAATACCAGCATGTATGTACTTATATAGCATATGCTGTTAAACAGGGGAAGCGTGAAAAGTAAATGTATTAACAGAAGTTTGATAATTCATTCCAAGTCTAAGAAGGAAAACCAAAACTGTAATTCTTGCTATCTTGTGCATTTATATATAATTACAGGCAGGAGGACTTTTACAAATTTGTTTTACTGATTTTCCTTGTGAGGGCAGTTCATTGTACTGTCTCCTCCATGTCTGTGTGGTATGTGTCCTCAATTCCAAGTGGCCTAGATTCCCTCTGCCTATCAGGGGGTTTTGTTTGTTTGCTAAAGACGGGTATTTTTCTGTTGTGCAGATCTTGTTTTTGTGTTTTATAATACATCTTTCTCCTTTTCAAAACAGTAAATATTCTTTTCCTTCAATACTGTTCTGTTTGGTTCTTTCTAGCTTGAAAAGACTGTCATTTTTTCCCATTAGGAACAGCCTGCAATTGTACATCTAAAAGAATTCGTGTATAATGTTCTATTCCTTCCCAATATGAATCATGATTAAGTGTGTGCCTGCATTGCACTCCTATGATTCTGTAGTTTTTAAATGAGGACACAGGCCATGTGTGGTGACACGTGCCAGAAAAGCCAGCATTTAGAAGACTAAAGAGGCGGACTACAATCTTGAGTCTAGACTTTAGCTACAACAGCACGGGTTTCAGGCCTGCTCATCTCAAAACAAAATAAACTAAATAAATACATAAATGCAAACAACCATCCATTTAGATGAATCAATTCATTAACACTAATTAGTTATTTATCCCCTAAAAATACTAATAGCTAATTAAACTCTGAAATAATTAGAAGGCTGTTTATTTTAATAAGATTATATATTCCAGCAACCTTAAGCCATCCTAGCTGTCTATGCCCAATATAATTTAATGCTAGACTAGAGAGATTTTTGTAGCTTGAGATATAAAATTTTAGTTAAATACCTTATGTTTTCTTCTCCTACTAACTATAACTTTTAGCCAGTTGGGTTCTTTGGTTTGTATAAGCAGAAACCTTGGGATATTTAGGAGCCGTGTCAGATAGCTCCTTATATTCTTGTTCATTTCAGCAACAGATTTTTCTGGTGGAGAGTCAGTATGGGAGGGTAGGGAGTGAAGTATATAGAAGGTAATTTTAAAGATATCACATTAAAAATAATTTCTGAGATGCAAATAAATTATAATTACTGATGGAAGTAAGCACTTATAAAATCTGTAGAAGAACATTAAAACTCCGAGGACGGGAATGAAGTCATGGAGAAATTTGGGTGGATTTATACAAATTCTATATACATAAACAGAATATGAACTTCGACTATATATATGTACATGTTTGGTTTTGTATCTATGTATTTTAAATACAAAAGGTGAAAAAGCAATAAGCTGCATTATCATAAGCTCATATACCAAAAAGTATGACAATCTACCCAGATTTCCTCATGGAACCTAGGGCTTTGTGGATGTTAGACAAGTACTCCAGCAGCCCACTTTCATTCACAGTACAAGCTACTGTTTTCCTGGAGACTTGAGTCTCTCAGTGTCCAAGCTGCTTTTGAGTTTCCGATCCTCCTGCTCCCATGTCATAAGTGCTGTGATAAAAGACACACTGCCATATCTAGCTGAAAATATAGTGTTTAATGTTATAAATCCCCTATCTAAAAGAAGGCTCAATTATTAGTGGCTTTGTGTGACAGATTTGGAAGTCAAACCCAGAATGGATAAAGCAGCTTTATGCTTGTTCCTAACTATGTTCTCATTTAGCATGTAACACTTTTGTTATTTTATATGTACGGGTATTTTGCTTGCATGTATGTCTGTGCACTGTCTGCATGCCTGGTAATTACAGAGGCCAGAAGAGAGCTTCAGATCCCCTGGAACTGTATTACAGATGTTTGTGAGCCACCATATGGGTGCTGGAAACCAACTTGGTCCTGGGTCTTCTGCAAGAGCAGTCAGTACTCTTGACTGCTAAGAAGCCATTTTTCCAGCTCCAGTTTTTTTATATTTTATTGGCACCTTATATTTTATTAAATATCTATCATTTTTAAAATAGTATATTATTTAGTACTTGTTAAGTGTAATAAGCATATGAACTAGTTCCATGGGAGGCATGAATAATCCTTTAATGCCCTCCCAAAGCTTGGGTAGAGACCCACATGATAAAAACCACCACTTTAAAATGCCAGCGGGTGGGCTCCCTGATTTCAGAAGATTGTTTTTCTTCCTAAACAAGCATGTATACATGATAGCATGCATCTCTGCAGCACCGATTGATCAGACCCTAGTGGAACCTAAAGACATTTAATTGAGATGCTTCTTTTCAACTCAGTCTTGGGATCACTCAAACAATGAAAACTGAAGTCTGGATCCTTCTTACCTTAATGTTACAAGCCAGAGCCTTGCCATCATCTCCTTTAAGCATGAGCTTCATTCCTCGAAGGGATTCCATGGCTTTTATAAAGTCAGTTGACTCCTGATATTGGATAAAGGCTTCAAATGTTTGCAAGCCAAAGTTGAAACCCCCAAAGCTCCCACCTGTCATCACTTCTCTGTAGGGGTCAAGCATGGGGATATCCACATTCTTGATCTTCCCAAAACTCTCAAAGACTACTCGAAGGATCTCTTCACAGGGCTTCTCTCCACTGGAACCTTTAGGAGCAAACCATTTACAGGGCAAGCCTTCAAAATAGATGGAATCTGGGCTCTTATCATGGTCTTGTTCTTCAGCTCCCGCAGTCACTGAGGCCTCTTTCTCTTTGGGGAAGTGTTCCCACTCTCCCTGGGCATCTGTAGCCACTACTTTTAAGTCAGTTTTCAAACCATTTAGTTTGATGATCTTCCCATGTAACTTCGCTTTCAGAATCTGAACCAAACTTCGGGTTTCAGCCTCACCCTCAAATCGGATGAAGTCTTTTGTACTCTTGGAGAGTCTCACTGTGGTGAACTGGTCAGGGCAAATGAGACTTTTCAGTTGGTCAAGAACTTCCCAGTTAGAGAAGGGCCTCACGGGTTCTATACACTCTGGGAGCAATACGTTGATCATTAATTTTGCTATAGGCTTGAGGTAGAGGTGCTGAGCAGCACAGAGCTCTGTTGCCTCAGAGTTATCATAAACCACTGTGACTGTCATGGTGTCGTCACACCACCTTAGAGGACAAAAGAGAAAAATTTAATACAGATGGAGCAAAACACAGATTGGGACTGTGAAATGCTGTTAGCATTGCTAGACTGAGATCCAAATGATAGAGGGAAAATATACTGTGAGCAGAATTACAATAGTATCTTTTAGCTCTTGAATCTAATAAGCCATTATAGTAGGATGTAGGATGTAAGGTTAACCAAAAGAGCCAAAGGCATGCCTATATGTCAGCAACAAACAAGCTGAATTAGAGATTTAAAACATGATGCCAATCCAAGTATGGTAACTCACGACTGCAATCCTAGCACTCTGGAAACAGAGGCATGGGGAGTAAATCTTGACCTAAATAGCTCCAGATCAGCCTGAACTACAGAATGAGACATTGTCTTATTTACCCACTCCCAACAACTACAAAAATGATGCATTAATAATAGTATCAAGTTCATGAAATGCTTAGGTAGAAATCTAACAAAAGTATGCATAAAATCTTACAAAAGAAACTACAAAACTCTGATGAAAATATCCAAGAACTAAGTATATGCAGTAAATCAATAAGAAGGCTCAATAAGCTGGGCATTGATGGCACACTCCTTTAATCCCAGCTCTCGGGAGGCAGAGGGAGATGGATCTCTGTGAGTTTGAGACCATCCTGGTCTACAAGAGCTAGTTCCAGGACAGCCTCCAAAGCCACAGAGAAACTCTGTTTCGAAACCAACCCCCCCCCAAAAAAGAAGGCTGAATATGTCAGTTCTTTCCAACTAGATCTGTATATTAAACATAATCTCAATAGAAATCTCAAAAAGTTGTTTTCTCAATCAAATATAAATTCTAAGTCCAGTGCATAGTGGTGCACACCTTTAAGCCCAGCACTTTAGAGGCAGAGGCAGGCAGAATTCTTTGAGTTTAAGGTCAGCCTGGTTCATACTGAGGGATATAGGCCAGCTAGAGCTGTATAATGAGACTGTATATCAAAAAATAAAGATTCTAAAGTTTATATGGAAATACATACCCAAATTAACCAACTCAGTATTTAAGGTCAGTGGGGAAATGTTAGTGACACTCTCTGACTTCAAAAGCTATATAACAGCACAGTCATTAAAATAAGATGGTACTCATCAAAGAAAAGACAAACAGATTTATGGAATGGGATAGAAAACTCAGAAATAGATTCACATATAGTCTATGGATGTATAAAGAAATTAGCAAAGAGAATCTTTTCAATGAGTAATTCTGAAACAATAGACATCCAAACATTCTAATCTAAGTATGGGCCAAAGTGGGCTGGAGAGATAGTTCAGATGTTAAGAACATGCATTGCTTCCCAGCACCTAGTTCACTTGGCTAAAAATGGCCTGTAACTCCCCCTCTGGGGGATATGTACGACACCCCCTCTGGCCTCCATAGGCAACTGGACTCCTGTACAGATATCCCCACACATGTATACACATAACTAACAACAAAAGTTTTAAATGCACCAGCCAAACAGATTTGGGGATGTAACTGAGAGATAGAGCATTTTCCTACCATGTATATGGTCCTAAATTTGACCTCAACAACAACAGAAAACTAGACAAAAAAATCTTAACAGACATCTCCCCCCAAATTATACTGAGAACAAAAAGAATTTTAAATGGTGACTTTCATAGATTAATTTCAAAGCATAGGTTCCATCCTTCTAAATAGCATTAATGGAGATTAATTTCTAAATTCTTTTAGCACAGATTATTTTGTGGTGCTGGGGAATAAACTCAATCCCTTGCACATGCTAGACTAGTATTCTACCACAGAACTACATCCTAGCCCCTGAATCTGATATTCATAAATCATTAAAATGGCCTAGAATCAAAAATGTTTTGGAAAAAAACTGAATGACTATAAAGAGCAACCCGGTTTTCCCAAGAAGATCGATTGTCAATGAATTTTTATTACTTTATGTGTATGGGTCTTTTACCTACATGTATGTCTATGCACCATGTGTGTGTAGTGCCCGTGAACCCCAGAAGGGAGAGTTAGACCCCCCAGAACTGTAGTTACAAACAGTCGTGAGCCATCATGTAGATCCTCAGAATCAAATCTGGGTCCTCTGGGAGGGAACCAGTCCTCTTAACTGGAGCCACTTCTCCAGTTCTGTGTGAGTCACTTTTTATATGCCTGCTAAAAACCTCAGCTAAAGCAATTAAGCAAGAGAAAAAGATAAATATCCAGTTGGAAAGAGAAATTCAAATCACCAATTTGCAGAAAATATTACCTTATATACACAAAAGTCTAAAGACTACCAAAATGTGTTAAAACTGATAGACAAGTTATAGAATACAAAATCAATATACAAAAGTCAGTGCTGGGAGCTAGAGAGATGGCTCAGCAATTCAGAGCACTGGCTTCTCTTGTAGAGAACCAGGAGTTTGGTTTTCAGCCCCCACATGGCATCTCACAACCATCTGCAACTCCAGTTCCACAGGTTCTTGAGCTCTTTTTTGGTCTCCACTAACACCAGGCATATATTTGGTGCACAGACATACATGCATACAAAACACTCACACACATAAAGTAAAAATAAATAAATCTTTTTTTAAGTTTTAAGATAAGGACTCACTATGTAGGACAGGCTGGCCTGGAACTCACTATGTAAGCCAGACTAACCTTGAAATGCTTAACTCACAGAAATCCACACATCTAGTTTACATTTCTATGCAACAATGAAGTAACTGAAAAAAGAATCAAGAAGGTGATCCCATTTGCATCATCTATAAATATACCTATAAATTAATTTAACCACAGAGGTGAAAGAACCCTACAATAAGATCTATAAAACACTGATAAAAGAAATTGAAACACACGCACACACACACACGCAGGGAGTTGTGGGGGAAACAGACAACAGCATCCTGGAATGATGCCTTATGATCCTGGACTAGAAGAATCCATACAGTAGCGTACCTATACTATGCAATGTAATCTATTGATTCAATGCAACACCTATCAACACTAGTGATAACCATCACAGAAACAAGAGAAAACATTCTTAAAACTTGTATGGAAACACTAAACTGAACTCCTGGAATCCAGTGTCAGAAAGAGAGAACTGATGGGCAGAGGAGTTAAGACTGGGCTGGTTTAACCCACAGAAACAGCTGGCCTGAACGAGGGGGAGCTCTTGGACCTCAGATTGATGGCTGTGTGGAAAGCATGGGACTGACCCAGGCCCCCTGAATGTGGGTGTCAGTGAGGAGACCTGGGCAACATATGGGGCCTTGGGTAGTATTTATCCCTGGCATACAAATAGACTTTGAGTGCCCATCCCACAATGAGGGATGCTCTCTCAGCCTGGACTCTTGAAGGAGGGCCTAGACCCTGCCCTGGGTGAAATAACAGACTCTGGATATCCACCACGGAGGGCCTCACCCTCCCTGGGGATAGGAGTGGAGATTGGGTGGGGGGACTGGGGAGCCTGGTGGGGAGGGCTGAGGAGGAGGGGAGGGAAAGGGAGCTGGAATTGACATGTGAAACAAACTTGTTTCTAACTTAAATTTTTTTAAAAAGTGAAGAGAAAAAAAACTTGTATGGAACTGCAAAAATGTCTGAACTGCCAAAGCAATTCTGAGCAACACAACAAAGCTGGAGGCATAATATCGGACTTCAAAACATGCCATATGAAATTGCTGTAGATAAAACAGCATGACACTAGCATAAAACGGATATATTGACCAATACAAGAGAATAAAGAACCCAGAGATAATGAAAATTTTTAAAAGAGCACCAAGAACATACATTGGAGAAAGTGTCTTCAATAAATGGCACTTAGAGAAATATATATAATATACTGTATGATATTACATCAACATTGCATTATCATTCTATATGACTGAAACTAGATCACATACAAAAAATCAACTCTAAATAGATCAAAGACTTGCATGTAAGGCATGAAACTACTGGGAAAAATCATAGGAGAAAACACTTCAGGGTACTGGTTTAGGCAAAACAGCATGGGGCTCCTTAAAACACTAGAAATAGAACCATAACTGGAACATGACCCAGAAGTCTCCTAACTGGGCATATGTCCAAAGGAAATGAAGTCAGTATGTCAAAAAGACATCAACACCCCCATGCTTACTACAGCATTATTCCCAATAATCAAGGTATGGAATTAACTTGGGTGCTCATAGATGAGTGAGTGGATAAAAAAATGTAGTATATAAGCACAATGGAATATTATTGAACCCTATAAAGATAGAAAAGTGGTTATTTCCACAACATGTATAGAGCTAGGAAATATTATACTAAGTAAAATGAGCCAGGAATGTAGTGACAAATATTGCAGAACCTTACACAAAGCAGCTGAAATCTGTGCTTTCATAGAAATGGAGTGTAGAATGGTGGTTCGCACAGGATTAGAAGAGGGACAGGAGAGACACTGGTTAGCGTGCATACAGTACAGTTGACTAGGCAAGATAACTGCTACTATTCTACAGAACTAGAGATAAGAAAAAAATGTATATTTCAAAATACCTAGTGGGTCAGGTTTTAAATATTCTCCACCCAAAGAAATGATGCATGTCTGAGGAGATGGGCATATCAAATACTCTGATTTGATCATTACACATTACATATATATTGCAATGTCAATTTGTGTCCCATAAATACATATAATTATTTTTTGGTTTTAAAACTATGGGCCAATTAAAATTTGTAAATTTTAAAATGGCCCCCTTTCAAATTGTCACAACTTGGACTCTCAAATTCCAATTTCCCTATGACTGCAATAACAAAAACAGTTGTTCTTATACCTTCTCCAGTCAGTCATAGTCTTTAGATCTTAAAATGAAATGCATGTGGATATTTTATCTTAAATTGCTTTCCAAGAATAGAGGCTAATTTTCAATTACTGTCAAGGACCTGGTGCATACCAAGTAGTCAGACATTTGCATATATCACAGTTTCCGTGCTACAGCAATGCCGTGGACAATTAGTGCAACACCTGGCACATAGCTGCAAACAATCAATTCC